AGTGTTAACGAGCAGTTGGACAGGTGTACCTAATAAAGTGACCAGTGAGTGTATTTGTTAGTTCAATCCTTTTCTGCCTTTTCTCATAGTAGCTTCATGTGGTCTGCTCCCGTTTGGCTGTCTCAAGGATGGAGAGGCATCCTTGAGAGAAATATCAGCTGAGCTGCTGCCATCAACACCCTTTATTATAGCTGATAGGCTTGGGCCTCTTTTTTTCAGTGCGTAGCCCTCAGCTTTTCTTGTGACTACCTGGATGTGCTTTCTTTCCCCACGTTTGGCAGAAAAACTGTTTAATAACTCGCTTAAGTGTTTTTTTCTTGAAAGCCATCTATAGAGCTACAAAGTTTACGCTTAACTTTTCTAACATAAACAGTATTTATGGATCTCAGCTATTATGTTTCTTTTGTATCTCCGTCTTTGTCTCCTTGTATGCCCCATCAGTCTCGGCAGAAGGCTGGTTCCTCTGGAGGTTTCTACCCGTTGATATTGAAGTTTTTCCTCTCCATTGTTGCGGAATGCATGCTCTTTTGTAAAGGGATTGCTGAAGAGTCAACGACACAATGCAAGCTAATGTTTACCGTCTCTACATGCTAATCCAGCAGGAGAGTTTAGTGCAAAGTTAATGACTGGATGGAACCAGCTGGTTTTCCATTGATAGAACACTTTAACTAATCTGACTGGATATTCAGATCCGGTGATAAATAAACTGAACTGTACTGAACTGGAATTACGTTTGTAGATGAGGCCATCTGCAATATTTGAATCAACCATTGATTGGTTTTAACCCTATGTTTTTCTGCTTTGGCCTCGTAAACTGATACCTAAAATATACCTTCAACTATGGCCATGGCAGACATGGACTAGCTGGAATTTCAATCGAAACCCTAATCTGTGAAATCTTACAGTAGAATAAAAAAAAATGCATATGGAGCCATTCAGATTCAGGTTTACATTCACATGAGTTATGTATAATGTATTGCTGCATGTATTTCCATCAGATCATGAAGCTCTCAAGCTCCATGTTTACAAGTGACACCTGAAGTTTCTAAAGGTAGACAGAGATACAGACCCTTTACTTAGTCCCATGAGAGCAAAGGGGCATTTCAAACTCAAACCCCAGAATTCTGGAGTACATATAGGATAAGAAACACTTTGGAATTTTGAATAAACTATTTTATTTTGAGCTTAAATGTAACTTACTATATTCATGTACTTTGAAATGGAAATTCAATTCACACACAAAAAACTATTGAAATAAAATCAAAGCCAATTACAACTAATAGATAAGATGAAATAAAGACATATTTTTCCTTAAAAGACAGACTTGAGATAACCTTTTGGCATATGGCCTAGGGATGGAGCTGTTTATGAAAACCGTCCGAACCGTTCGGTTCGACTGTCTCGGTTCGGTTCACGTGTGTTGCATTCGGTTCAT